ACCTACCTACCTATCATATTAAGGGTTTTTCCTCTGTAATTTGGAGCAATGAAGCCAACCACTGGAGAGAGTTTTTAAAGTTAGTAGACAATGCTTGTTTGAGAAACCACAAAATGCAAACTTCAGAAACCAAGAGAAACCTTTCAAAAATAAGTTTTTGCTTTACATAAAACAAAATAAGCACAATTCTGCTTGAGCAATCTAATCTAAACACCATTATAGAAAAATAAATTTAAGAATGGACTCTCTTTGGTCTCCCTTGCCCCCCAAAAAGAGAAAGGAAGATTTAATGCAATTGAAAGCAAGCAAATAAATGGTTATTGGTTGGTGTGGGCAGCATATGAAAACAGTATGCTTCACTATGAACCAGTTTCCATGGATTTTGGCTTGAGATATAACTGTCTAAGCCAAGTTAGCTGCTTATGCGTAAACAGTAAAGTATGCAGACCTTTAAAATTAAAACTGTTTCACCATGGAATGGCAGACTTAGTGCTGTGGACTGCTCTCATGTGCTCTTGCATTTTAGGAGGAAAAATATACTTTTCTATTAAATTGCAACACGGTTATGGGAAATGCTATAATTCATCTTAGACAAAGCCAAAAGAAATTGTATTTCCAGCATTTGCTTCCACAAGATAGCAGCTTTGAACGAGGCTTACAATGCAGATAAAACATTTATTTCAATTTATGCTTGTTCAATCTAAAAATAGATGCCTGAATAATGCTAATCAGGACAAACAACAGCTTTGCAGTCAGATTAAACTACTACAATTGGATATTGAAGTAATATTAAACTTGCTTTAAAAATACCAGTATAATCCTTTTAACATAATAAAAGTATTAGAAAGCCTCATGAGATACATACATCATTGGGCTAATCCCATCAACTGAAAACATTATACGAAGAACAGAAAATCATTAGTAAACAAAAGAAATACAAGGGAATATATGTACAACCTAGTTTTTACACCAATACTCTATTGTTCTTCTTCATACTCATTTAACCAGGCTTCTGGCATGTCCACATCCTGCTCGATACATTGCCTTTGCTTTTTTAAACATCTCTCTAAGAAGCTCATCAACTCCATCCTGCTATAGATTTACTCTATTTTTCCTTTCTTATCTCACATTCTCTCACTCTCTATATTTGTTTGTGATTCAATCCTCATTCATTTTCTGTTTAAATGACTGAACTAAAAATCCAGTTCACCATCCTATAAAAAAAACTGTTGAAAAACAGCAAGGAATTTATATCCTAAACATATTACCACTGTAAATAGTTAGCAGCTGCAGAGAATGAATACTTAATTTTTAACAGGTGAACACAAAATCTCTTATTTTTAAATTAGCATTGGGTTTTTCTCCCCTTTCTCATTTTTATTATATTATATTGAGTGACAAAATATCCCTAGTAATATTATTGTTGCCAGACACTTCAGTTTTCAGCCAAGAAGTCTTCTATCCTTATTTGTAACTCTTACAATCTATATCTAGAGAGGACAAGTTGCATTACTTCATCCAATTCAATGCAGCCAATTTCATAAGGATTTGAATTTGACCATAATTATTGTTTCAAGTAAACCATGGGTGTGCCATTTTTCTTGGACTGAGAGCTACATCCGACCTTTGACAAGCTGAGGTATATAAGTCAATTAGCTGAACAAGCTAAGACAAAATCTTAATTTCCTTAAATGATTTACAAAACTTTAACTGGAGCCTTGGTTATGATTCCTATGTGTGATCAATGTTTGATTTCTATGGTGATCATTTAAAATTTTTCCTCAAGGCTATACCTTTTGCTCCCAAGCCACGGAGAAGTACATTCCTGTTTCTAGATAGTGTACACATTTTTCTTCTAATAAAAAAAATACTCAGTATACAGCCTTCATTTGGAAAAGCAGACCAAGACAGACACACATATTTTGACTTGGGAAATACCAACATCACCATGTTTAGTAAGGGGAAAGTGAAAATGATGTTTTAGGAGAGGAAAGTTTATGCCTCCCTAAATATACAATCAACGTTTTTGCCCTTTCAAACAGTCTGAGGCACTTTAGATCTCCTTGTAGACACATGTAGTCATAGAACCCATCTCTAGCCAATTTATTTTCAGAAAGCCTAAAGGAAGCGGGGATTTTTTATATATTTTTTTTTATATAAAAAAGAGAAATTTTTACCCAAAATCAGGCAAAGCAGGCAGGCAGATTGAGTTGCTCACAGAATCATTCAATGATCTATCTGCCACCAGCTAGCTCAGTCTGTCACATAAAATTTGCTTGCCATGAGTCTGCACTGAATAATAGAACCTTCAGTCCTAAGGGAAATTCGGCTGTGCTTAAAAGCAGAGCTGAAGATCTAAAGACTAGCTAGAAAACAAGAAATCCAACCATTTCCTGCTTCCTAGCTAATCTAAAGCTCACAGCTGATGGCTGGAAAAATAGCAATTTAGCAGGCAAGTTTTCCGGGTAAGGAGTGAGTGGGCAGGGAGGGTTCTGGCGGGCCATGTGGGCGGTGCAGCCTTGTGTTTCTGTGCAGCCTGGATTAATTGCTTTGGAAGGGGTGCTCTGGGGGTAAGATTTCTCTGCGGCCCACCAAAATTTTCTCATGGCCCACCAGTGGGCCGTAGCCCACCCATTGGCGACCGCTGCCCTAGATGATATAGAAAGCCAAACAGAAACAGATCTGGTTAGCATGGGGGGGGGGGGGAAACTACCTGGAAAGTCTAGAAGATAGATTATTTTAGGAAATTAATGGCAAACCACTTCCACTTTACAGGTTTGTCATTATGAAGAAAATAGACAGGAACATTATGTACGTTGCCTTGAGCTGTATATAATAAAAGTGGAATAGTAACCTAATAAGTTACATTTAAAAATTGAGTAGTTATGTCAGTTAACAGGAGTTGCACTTCACCTAAAGGCAATTTTGGAAGAAGAGGAGAAAATAGTATTTTCCAAAGATAAATATTGAGAAACAGAATGGTCTTCAGTAAAAATTTCAGCATATGCCAGGAATGACAGGAATCCAAGGCTGTGCTAGTATCCAGATTTTCCTAAACTAGTGAGTTTGGAAAAATATTAATTATTTGTATGACTAATAGCATATATATTTACAAAAAGTTTTGTAAAACACAAAAAGAGATGGATTTTCAGATATTATTGTTTGGAAGATACATTTCCAGAATGTGCTTTGAACCAATGAATCTTCTAAAACAGGGCTGTCAAACTCCCGGCCTATGGGCCAGATGCGTCATGCATTGACCACGCTCATGCTCGGTTTAGCGAAGGGGGAAAATGTCCCGATACATCACATGACACTGCCATGACGACATGGGCTTGACATCCCTGTCCTAAAACAAGCCTATTATATTGCAAAAGAAAACCTGGAAATTGTCCTGTTCTGTTTGTAATTAGAATAGCTTGTAGGAAGTATAGAAAAAGTATAATTTATATTTATTGGAAGGGAGATGGTCTTAAAATGCTTAAAGGAATCATTGCTTCAAAGGAAGATCTTTGGGGCTGAAAAACAGAAATAGTTTATTACAATGTGAATCTTTGATCAAACAATAAAGTTCATCTTCCCCATTCAGACCATTACCTTAGGACTACTATTCTCTTTCAACTACATCTGCCTAGGAAGTATATTGCAAAGAAAAAAAATGGGAGTGACCTAATTTAAGTCTGTGACGCTGAGGCAAGAGGGCTGCAATGTAAGTATGAATTTTGAATGAATTAGTAAAAAAAAAAATCAGTTCTTTCAATATAATTTTGTTCTTAAAAGTACAAATAACGGTCTTTAGATCTTGATTTTTTGAGTTTTACACTTGTTACATAAGTCAAACAAATTAAGTTTATATTTGGTATACTGCAAGAACTTTTATGATTTTTCTGTTTCAAATAGAAAGCAATCCAAGTAAATGTATAGGCAATTATTAAAGTTATACATATAACTTTACATACTCATATTAATGCTACATAATAATCTTGTCACAATGTAGTGGAATTCTTTCATCAGTAATGTTCTCAGTAATTGAAATATATTTTTTAACATGCTAACACATGGCAATTTTTAATTCAGTGAATTACACATGAAACACTGTGGTAAAGGTGTGGATTGATTAAAAAAAAGTTTGTAGTAAAGATGCCTAGAAATTATAAATTTCATTAAGAAAACACTCCATATCCTATGGGAAACTAGGAGACAAATGTATTTGACGGAAAAGGAATATATTTTGGATTGTGAGAAGTAAGCAAAAGCCTACTGAGGAGAGAATGTCACCATAGCTCACAGTGATCTGAAAATCTTTCAGTCAAGTCTTACAATTTCTAGATAATGATAATAAAAGTACCAAAGAATTGCTGTGAACTACCTTAAAGCACAGTTGTTTCAGTATGCAGTACTGGGAATCTCTTAAATAAATCAATACCATTTGGATTACAGAATATGTCAAACAAAAACATCCCATAACAATTAAATTTAACTGCATTATCAAAAGTAATTCACTATGATCTTTATGCACTTTCATCAGATCATAGTATACTGCTGCAGAGTAACACTATAGTTTAATTACGGCTCCTGGTGCATATAACAGTACTTACTTGGATTTGCTGAGGACTGAAATGCTAAGACTCATATTTCAAAACAAATGCACCTGAGATAAATATAGAACATTAATAGAGAGATCTTAGTTTGTATATTACTGCAATTCTATTTGCAAAAGGTGGCAGCTTTTCAATGCTGTTGGCAGTACCTGTACACCATACTATCACACTATAGCCATTGAAATACCTTTTAATGGTTTGCTCCAAATCTTATCAGAAGTAAGCCACCAGGTTCAATGATACTTACTTCCTAGTAAGTATATTAAAATTGCATATACTAGCAGTTTAAGTTTAACATTAAAATAACTAAATAATGAATTCCTTAAAAAGGAAGTTAAGAGTTCATCCACAAGTGCTTTGTATCATATTCTATAAAGGCCCTTCTTAAATAAACATGACTCACTGTTTGTTTTCTTCACCAGGAGGTGGAGTCTTGCCATGCCCTTCCATTACAAAATCCTCATGTTCCATCTGCGAAGGCAAGCAGTGTAGGTCAGCACGGATGAAACAAAGTACATGCTGTCCTATGTGCCCCTCTTCCTTGTCAGTCAATTATCGCATATATATGTTAGCCCATTCAAAAGACTGTTAATTCAGTTTAACGAGATCCACTCCAACAGTCATTGTACCAATATCATATATGGTTTTAGTTATGCTGATAGATGATAAAGACAAGCATGAGGAGTGCTTTAAATAATGGATATAGAATTATTTTTTTTCCATTATAAGGAGGGTGTTCTTTTTGTTATTGTTGCAGCAACGATTATCTCCCTTAGCAATACCCAGCAGAGAAAAAGTATGGGCAAATCAAGTGTTAAGTGGAGAAGTCTGGGAAAAGATAAAAAACAAAGATGGGATGCTAATATTTACAAAAAGACTGTACAGAAAAGGATTAGTCTACAGGAAGAAGTGACAAAAATCATTTTCTTAAAAAAAAAAATTCTTTGCAAATGCTACAGAAGTTTACTGTGAACAAGTTCCACACTCTAGTAGACCAAGCTTCACTAACAATCCAAGATTGACTACTCTGAATGTTGTCTATATGGATCATTCTTCGGAATAGGGAATATCATGTCAAGGAAGCGACCAAACTTTTACTCTGATGTTAATATGCATCAGGAGTGAATATATAAAGTTTATTCATGTTGTACAATATTGATTTTGATGTGTATAAAAGCAAACAGATTTCTCTCTTACAATCCCTTTCTTTCCAAACTCTCTGCTCCACGAAGGAAAGAAATAAACTAGACAAAGGAGAGATTCCTACTGAAATCCTTGCTTTTTTTCTCTTCCCCACCTCCCAAGCTGAAATACTGGAGAAGAGATTTCAAGAGAGTACTGTTAAGATATTTGCATAATGTGCCCACAACTCCCAGCCTGCATTGCCAACATGACTGCATTGCTTTCAATGTGTTATCAAAACAGTACAGGTACGTATCTATGGAGATTCTCAATCATCCACGTCATGACTGTCCCAAAGATGCTTTTTCACAACTGGACTTCTTTTTCTTGAAGATGTTTTGCTTCTCATCCAAGAAGCATCCTCAGTTCTGAATGCTGGGGAATGGAAGGATTTGTATTCCTTACAATTATGTGGTTGTTAAATGTTCCTACATACACAGGTACATGATTCAACTTACAATGACAGAGCCTGCCCACTACAGTCATAAATGTAGATTGCAAAATAGGTCATTATATGATCAACCTAAATTTTATAACCTTTTGTTTTTGGAATGATCATTAAATGAACCCTCTGTTTTGCTCTGGGATGTTTTTGCCAAAAAACCTGGAAGTAAATTGCAGTTTTTAACAAGAACATTGTAAACTGCAGTCTTGTAACTGTGGGATGTTGCAAATGGTTGTAAATGTGAGCTGTATGCGGAACGTCTGAAATGCAGCCATGTGACAGTGTGGGGGGCCTTTGTTAGAACTTCAGAACTGGGTCATAATTACCTTTCGAGGCATTCAGAACTTTAAACGATTGCTAAGCAACTGGTTGTAAGTTGAGATCTACTTGTAAGCAGGCACTTGAGTATTCCAAAGAGCAGTGGAAAATAAAGTCATGTTTCTTTTCAACCCAAAGCAAAATTGATGCCATTTACATTTAGTAACTGCTTCATTTAGTGGTGAATTGCTAGCCACAATTAGGGACTACCTGAAGAACAGTTGACAATACCTAAGAAAAGATTGTTCTGCTTACACTTGTGAGATTCAGTCCATCCAGATTATTGTAGTCATCTCCAAATGGATGTTCCACTATTCAAATATGTTTTCTTAATATTCCACAATACTCTGCAAGGGGACAGGTATCAGGAGAAGGAGACTACAGACAAATATTACTTTTTCCTTTCCCCGATAGCGGAGAGATTGGAGAAAAAGACATTTTAAGAGAGTAAACTGTTCTTTTACATATTGAAAGCAATGTGATCGTATCAACAGGGAAAAAAGGTCAGGCAAACGAGAAATTGCCCACAGATATCTCTGGTTTCTTTCCTTTCCCTCCCAGAGCAGAGAGATTTCAAGAGAAAAACTGTTTGAAATAACGCACCCATAGCTTCCAAACCCTGGGCTGTCAGTGAGATCACACTGCTTTCAATGTATAGAACAGAAAACAATTGACTTGTAATCCCTTTCTCTCCAATCTCTCTCCTCTGAAAGGGATTAAAAAAGTAGAAAAACCTATAGGTCAGGCAAAGGACACACATACTGACTATAATGGAGATCATATCAAGAGCATTTACACTGATATAGCACTCCATAGTGCTTTATAGCATTCTCTGAGAGGTTTACAATGTCAGCAAATTGCCCAGCAATCTGGATGCTTATTTTTCCAACCTTGGAAGGATGGGAGACAATCTCAAGCCATGTCAGGATTGAACTCAAGGCTGTGGGTACAGTTAGCCTGCTGTACTGTATTCTAACTGCTGCACCATAGGGCTGACTAAGTACCACCATCATAACTAAGGGACATTGTGAAAAGCTAAATGGTTATAAATGGGCCATAAATTTATTTTTTCAGCAATATTATAACTTTGAATAGTTGCTGAACAAATGATCAGTAACTGAGGACAACTCACATATCTTGGACATTTACACTCAATTTGAAGCATCCTTTGATACCATTTTGTCGGTGAGGCCCAAATATTTTTACATACCATACTGATTGCTCAAAGAAACTGGAATTGCCTGTAGATGAAGTAGATGAAGATTTACTCCACTCCACATTTAACTAGATCTTAGCAAAATGTAAATGCAGTTCTTAAGAGAAGCAGAATTTTTCTAACAAATTCAAACTAATATGGACACAAATCATTGCACAAGTGCAATGCTAAAGATGGATTATGACAGTTTCTTAATAAAGTACAGTAGTGTCCTTATTGACACATTTCTGAGGAGATGGAACAGTATCAATGGAAAAATGATAATAATTTCCATCTTTTTTGCGGGCATCAATACAGCATTTGCAGGCACCATGGACATATGATTGTCCAGATGGTACTCATGGAACCCCATGAAAACTGATTTGAACCCTCGTTGTATAGAACAAAATTCACAAAGTTTTACCAATCCATTTTTATGAATGTCAAATGATGTAAATAAATGCCCAGTTAATTTTGCCAGTGTAGTTTTTAAATTATAAATGGAAATAAATTATGAAATACATGCAAGAAGTGTCAGAGTAGTCAGATCTGTTGTAGACTGTTTAAGAAAATGCAATTAAGTATGAGAATTACTAGAAACTAGAAAGCAAATACACATTACAGTATTTTTTCATTTTCTGAACAATGAATGGCTTTAAAAACAGTTCCATTCTTAGCTATCACTTACTTACAAAATTTCACAGTTCATTGGGCTACTACTTCCCTCACCTATTCATCTTCAAGTATTGACAGAATTCTCAAGACTCATAAAGAGCTATGCTTTGAAGTCTAAGTTGTTACTGGGATTAGTGATAAGCCCTTATCTCTAGCAGACAAACATTATTTGGTTGTGTAACATAAGATGGCTAATTTTAAACTCCCCTCTTTCAGAACAGATGGGAAAATTGTTAAAAATGTTAAAAGGTTAAAAATATGTTAAAAATATTAGAATCCAATTTATCTGAATTCACTTTAAAAGCAAATTCCAACATTTAGGGAATTGTTATATATGCAACTGCATAGAAAAACAGAAATATGTCTGGTACTTATAACAAATATAAAACTGCTAGACACTATATATAAATTATATACCAAAATATACACCCAGCACTTTATCATCTGTGGTTTATAATATATTCAACACATAGAAAGAAGAATGTTAAAAGGGAAAAATAAGAGGAAAGGTTCAATTAAATTAAGATAAGGATATAGCATTTAAATATTTGAATATAAATAGAATGAAACAGTCTGATTATCATATGTAAGAGCATCTGAGAAGGAAGGAAAGGCACAAGGAAAGAGAGCAGACGGGCAAAAACTTAATTAGAAGACCGACTCCTGCAGAGTAAATTGCTTCAGGGAGAGTATATAAAGAAAACAGGACACAAAAGAGCAAAATCAGTAATACGTTTTAACAAATGCTTTAATAAAAAAAGGTATAACTATAGTCAGATCCAAAATCAAAATTATTTAATTTCAGGAACTGTCTCTAAAAGCTAAATATTTCTGATCATAACTTTTAATATTTTTCTCCTTAAACGCAAGGAAAGTTATACTACTAAGTCACTATATACATATTTTAAGACAATTTTCTGAAGGGAGAGGAAGGAATGCAGTGAAGATTATTCTAGAAATGCTTCCCTTTAACATTAAATGGCTGATAAAGAGCCATTAATATCAATTGACATATGCTATGTGTCCTATAGGTTAGTTTGCTTTTAAATACTATTTTTATTATATTTTAAATCCCCAATGTTTATCAATGTTTACAAGTTGTTTTAGGAGGATTGTTATGCTGACAAATAATGTATAAGAAATTTTTATTAAAAATAAGAGTTGGAAACCCATACATCCCAGTGCTAAAATATTTATAATTTTATTCCTGAAGTTCATACTTGCACAAAGAACTACTGTCGTACACAGAGACTACTAAACCAGCTAAAGTGACTGTTTTGATATGTATAAGATCAAGTATAACTGAAGCAAAAGATAAAGCCTCTGCAATTTTATTAGCCAATGTCATTTAAAATCCTATATTAAAATTTATTTATTTATTTATTGAATTTATATTGCTGCCTATTCGCCCATGGCGACTCGAGGCGGCTTACAGAATGTAAAACCATATTTAAAATAAAAAACAATAAAAACTAACAAAAAGAATCAAATACATTAATAAAGTACAAGTAAAATGCTAGTTAAATGCTTCAATGAGCCTGCTAAGTTAGCTTCCCACCTCCCATTTCAGGAAATACTTTATGCTGTTCTTTGGTATAAATGTCACAAGATTGTCCTATCACAAGTTAAGAAATGATACACATGTCTAGATTTCAA